CTTATTTGAGATATTTACAATTTTTTATTTTGTCATTCTTTGGTCCATTTCATTTATTTTTATCCATTATGACTTAGACCTAATTTTCTTATTTGGGTAAGTTCATTTATTTCTCCAGCCCATATTATACCGAAATGCTAGCCCATCATCACCGTTCCAATTTATTTTCCTCCTTGGACTGATTTCTCTCATTCTTATTTTATTGATTTCTTAAACCATTAATAGACTAAGCCCCAATTCAGTAAGTCAATTTAACATAAACCAAGGGACAGAATGAAATTGGGACAACATCTACACTTAGAATTATGAATTTCACAAAACACTATTCATTGATTGCATGGAAACCTTGGAAAAAGTATATTCTCCACCTACATCAAGAGTTGGAAACACAAAGTTGCTTGGCTTTTGACATCATATGTACCAAGGTCTCTATCAGAACATACAGTTAAGGACTCATCTAAGTCAATCTTTAACAAATGAATATTTACCAGAACTGCAGGAAAAGACATGGCAAGGACATGAAGCAGAATATTGAACACAACTCACAGAAATTGAACACACATGAACAGAAATGGTAAAAATGAAACATGGATTGCACAGAAGACAAAACTGGAAATGGGAGAAAAAAAAAAGATTAATAAAAGAAAAAAAAGGAAAAAAGAAAACCGTTATTCATCCTCAAAATATATGCCTATTCATATAATCAGGAGCTATAACATTCTTTCAAGGGAACTTTGATCAAAGAAAATGAGGTAGACAATAAAAGAAAAGAAAAAAAAAAAAAAAAAAAAGGCAGATGATGAAGGGAACACAGGATATAATTACCAGGGCCAAGCTGTAGATGATGATATATATTCCCCTACTGACTAATTAATGCTGCCACTTTTATTCTAATTTTAGTTATATTACTTTAAGACCAATTAAAATTTAAAAATGGTAGCATGAGACTCGGATAGCATAAGCAAGCAGGTTATTTAGCCTGGTTTCAACACACAGTCTTTATCATGCAAACAATCAATATTGCATGCAAAAGAAAAAGAAGCTAATTAATTATTTTTTAACATAAAAATGTAGAGGAACAAACGAGCCAGAGATTTTGAATTATGCATTTTTCACGGTTGATGAAATTAAACTTGTTTAACAAGAAGAAGGAAAAACACTGAATCAATAAGCTCAAACCAAGAACACTGACCCTGATCCTACCAACCACAGTCACAGTCTAGAAACTCCAGCATTATAGCATTCACTCATGACCTAGGGAATCTAAAGTTACCTCAAAAAGAGAGCCGCCTTCCGACGAAGAGCAAGTGATGCCAATCAACAAAACCAACAATTTCTTCAATTTGAATTCGAGAAAAAGCAATTGAGCTTGCTCAATTCCTTAGTGTTTCCTTTTCTCCAGATATTAAATACTGATTCTGTCAAAATTTCCCCAAAACTAAGTGAAACTTCGGAAATTTCCCTCAACCCTGTTGCCTACTGCCAGAGCTTGCTACTTTTTCCGGTTTGTCTCACTGTTGGTGAGGCTGCCTCTTATTGGCGAATGAAAGGCCCTCCAGATACTGTTGGATTGTCTTTGTCCCTCCTCTTCTCGGCCCTTTGTATTGTAAGTTGTAACCGTTTTTTCAGAGGTTTTGCAGCAGTTAACCGTCTTGAACTGGACCAATGAGAAAGCTCTGCCGGCAGCCTCCACCTGGGACGCACGTGAAAAAAACTAGGCATGTGTAGATGGCACCTCCCCTAGATCGAGCTTCTCCCCGTTTGCAGCCTCCATGTCTTGCTCAAAGAATTTGGAACGGAAAATTCCTCTGCAAATCGGGGGGTTTGAGACTTCTGAGGATGAAGAAGGCCGTTTGGCCTCCTAATTAGGTTTTGTTTAGGACCAAATCGGTGCCGTTTGAGGCTTCAAGCTCTTTCATTCTTCAAGTTCTGAGTCTGTGACAGTTTAGTCCCCCACTTCTCTCAAGTCAAAAAATTGTTCGACTTCGACGGCAATTTTCAATTCCCTACCATCTTCTTCTTCTTTTTTTGAATAAAAAATATGTTTTGAAAACTTATTGAAAATTTACATTAAAATAATTTTTTTAATTATTTTTTAATGAAATTTTAAATTTATGAAAGAAAAATAATATTTTTAAAACAAAAATCTTTTTAATTTTGTCGAATATCTTCTTTATTCATTTTTTTAGATAAAACACAAGGTTTCTCTCTTCCCATTGAATAACTTAAAAAAAATATGTATATTTGACATTTAAATAAATAATGAAACTGCCAACCGGGCCTATGGCCCAATTGGTTGGCCCCCAAGCTTTAGGGTTTGGGTGAGGCGGAGGTCAAGGTTTCGAACTCTGCCACCGCCGTGAACTCCACCAACTTGCGACCTAATGGTCGCGCGCCTCAAATGAGGGGGTGGAAGTTTCACTTTCTTGGAAAAATCCAACTGCTAACAAACTAACTCTACTAACTTCTTAACCGTCTACTTGGTCAAAAATAAAAAAAAATAAATAAATAATGAAAATGTTATGGTTATAATATTTTATAAAATTATAAATTTATAATATTAATTTAATACTAAATAAATAATTATATATAAATTATATATAATTTTAATATAAAATATATAATTATATAAATAACACATTATAATTATAAATTTAAAATATTAAATGATGTTATAATTACATATTATTTTTAAATAAATAATACTAATATTAGATAAAAACTTGTATAAAAACTTGTTTTTTTAAAGTTCAGCCAAACACTTCCTTCTAGAATAAAGGTGCAAATAAGGATTTCAATTTTATACTTCTTTTTATTTAAGAATGTTAATTTTGTCAGTTTTTAAATAAGGATGTCAACTTTCAATTTTTTCTAAATAAGGATGTCAATTTTCAATTTTTTCTAAATAAGAATGTTAACTTTGTCAATTTCTAAATAAAGATGTCAACTTTCAACATTTTCTATTTAAAGATGTCAACTTTTAAATGTTTCTATTTAAAGATTAATTAAATAGTGATGCTGAGGTGGCTAACATATTTTTTTAGGTTAAATATCTGGATTGGTCCTTCAACTTTTATTTTTGAACCAATTCATCTTTAAACTTCAAAAAGTACCAAACGTCCTTCAACTTTAATTTTCAATTTCGTCTTTTTGTTAGTTAAATGTTGATGTAGCTAAATTTTTTCGCTAAGTGATTGACTATTTTACATTTTCAATATTAAGTGGAAAATCCATCATGTAAAAGATGATTATGTGGATTTTTTTTT